TAACAGACGATGATAGATAGAGAGGTCAAAAGTGACAAAAGATGAGTCAGATCCCTAGATCACAAAGTCAGTTTATAACGATATTAGTAGACGATGATCTTCCCACATAGAAAGCTTTATTAACAAAAAAACTAACACGATATTAAGATCTCTATTATTACTGTTTAATTTATAAATTTAATTTATTAACTATATCGTACCAGTTAACTTTTTGTGTTACGGATTCATATGTAATATAGCACTCGTGGAAAGTGACAAAGATGAGTCAGATCCCTAGATCACAAGGTCAGTTTATAACGATATTAATAGACGATGATCTTCCCACATAGAAAGTTTTATTAACAAAAAAAACTAACACGATATTAAAATCTCCATTATTATTGTTTAAGTTACAAATTTAATTTATTAACTATAAAAAAAATATATACTACTTATACTAATTTAAGTTACTTGATTTTATGGCTTTTCACCTAAAATTTTAAATGACTAATAATTATGATTTATATTCATCTATATTTTTTTTACATATGCAAAACATATATCCACATAATCTCATATAATATATTATGCGAAAATGATCGAAAATATTACATTTTGTATATTCGACTTGGAATTGCAATAAATCAATGTAGAAGTTCTTAGTTTTGAATTGTTGAATTTGTTATTTCACTTTTCTAAATTTGTATGTATTAAATTGTACCGGTTTTGCATATTTAATTATAACTAAAAGAAGTAAGAATAAATATGATGAAACTAAATATAATCATACAAAAAATATTAAAATAAATAAATATGATATATTCATTGATAAAAGAGATATAATAAGAATAAAAATGAACATGATGAAAAGAAATCTCATTCTTATTAGAAGATATGACATATAATCATTGAAAAAATATTGAAAAGTTTACACAACCAATGGACAAAAATATATTTGATTCACAAATTTTGTGTGATTCTATTCATTTTATATTCAACTATTATTTTGGTTTTAAATTTAAAGTTGTTATTAATTCAAAGCAATTATTTATTTTTATTTTTTTAAATTAATATATCAAAAATAAAAATTTGTATTGGTTAAACAAGAAAAGAAAAAAGATTAAATTTTAAAATTTATGATTTTTTATTGTTTTTAAAGAATATATATAATTGAAATAAAATTAAAAATGATGAAAAAAAATTATCTTTATGATTTAAAGAAGTGTATGTATAATATTTTATCATCATCTCAATACTATGTTTAGTAAGTAGCATTTGATTACAAAATTTTAATTGGTTTGGGTATATTAACTTATAAGTGTTTGACCAAATAATACATTTTTGAAATATGACATATTGTATATAGATTCAAAACAAAACCGTTAAAATCTCACAATTTAAATAAAAGTTATTAGATTAACACCATAATATTTTTATTATATTATTAAAAATGCTAATCTATATAATTTATATTATAATAAATATAATTGATTGCATAAATTTTTTATCAACAAAATACTCATGTGTAACGTGAAGGCAAAATCTAGTTATCATTAATAAATCTCAACTAATTTTGATGGAAATTATTAACTTTAAAGTTTGAAGAAAGCCTAAAAAGAAATTGGGTTCTCTCATGAATTTAATACAAACAAAATTATATACACATCCATATATGCAAAAATGCAAATATGATATGCAGATTTCTACTTCTTTATTATGAAAATTGTATATCTACTTTTGTCCAAATTTTTTTTATATCTATTGTATTTAAATGGATTAGTTTTGAATTTTGATGTTAAACATGGTTTTGATACTGCATGTAAGACTAATTTACATGAACCAAAAATTATTAACCATTATAGTCAATTACGTAATAGAATCACTAAAGAGGTTGTTGAGGTAAATTCAATCTTCAACGAATCACGTACTAACACATGGTGTCTATAGTTTTTTGCAGGTACGGCATTTCCGGACCAAACTAGGACTCCGGCCCAATACAACCTAACCTTATAGCACTGGGCATCGAATCCAATTGGATTCGGAAGATCTAACACGATAACCCACTTGTTTCCGGATTCCTCGTGTCTGTCAGTGCAGACCATGCTGTCAGAAATAAGGAAGTCGGAAACTGAATGGTCATGAGGAGGAGATATGACATTCTCTATGTCCTAGATCTAAGCTCGGTGATCCGGAAGGGTCGGGATATAAAGAAGAGTGGTCTGCACAGATACTCGGAGAGCAAAGTCTTCCACCCCGGCAGCCCAGTCTCAGTATCAAGGGATCTGAGCCAGGTATGAGTGATTCATTTGAGCGGGAATACTATTCAAATTTCCTTTCATTCGACAATAGGAACATGCCTTAGTCTGATTTGATTGCCCATACCCTTACAAGCCCACGAGAATGACATTTAATGTGTTTACCTTACATGTGTCAGGTGATAGCAACCTTTCGCAGGAATCAGGGGGAAAAGAAGAGGTTTCAGCGAAGAACCATATTGTGTCTGAGCCGCCGACCCAACTCGTACACTGAGAACGAAAGGAACGCACCAAGAGACGGTCTCGTTACAGGCTGAACACGCAAAGGAAAGTTGGTGAGACAATCAGAAGCGTGACGCCATCATAAGATTCAAATGCAGCCTAATCGGGTCATGGGCCGATCGATCCACCCGATTCACCATCCATGGGCCAACCCGTTATACTGACACAGGTCAGGTAATTCCCTATAAATACTTTATCCTTTCCTATGGGGAAGGGGTCCACACTCTTAGCCTTCTTAAGTCTCATGATATCTCTCTAGATACTTGTGGTTCTTAAGTTTAGGCGTTCTACACAATTCCGACCATCTTTCCGGTCATCTCACTTTGTTTCTCCTTCACGGCGGTTCCTATACCGTGGAGCTGTTTCACTCTCAAAATTTTCTTTTCCTTCTTTTCACCGTAAAAACCCCATTCTCATTCCGAGGCCCGAGTAGATCCAACATTTCTCAAGGACTCTTGGCCCAATTTCTTTTACAAAGTTTTCCGACTTATTTTCGCTCTCCGAATAGTAATATTGTGGTCTTTTTCGAGCTGTTTTCTGATTTGAGCGGCGGAGTACCTTCGGAAAACACATCCCCATCGTGTTTTCCGGGTTTTGACGACTTTTTTGTTTTGCAGGAGACTTACCCCTACTCGAGGACCAAAAATCCCCTAAACAGAGCATAAACGGCATACCCTTTTTTACTACTATGGAGAAAGTTTTCTGAAATGGATTCCTGAGTATAAGGCAAATTAAAAACCCTAATTTAATTAAGTGTCGTGTTTTTTATTACTCTTAAGCACCTGTATACTATTATTTAAGAATTTTTTAATAAATACTTTATTTTATAAGATATTAAATAAAATATCATTACAAATAATAAATAATAATTGAAATAGAAAAGGATAGAAATGTTTTTTACATTATTAAATTAAATATAGATATAAATCAAAAGTATATTTAATTTCTTTACTTATTAAGATATTAAAAGGGATTCTATTATTTTAAAGAATAATAAATTTATATATATTCAAAGAAAAAACTATATAAATTTTGAAATATTTTTTATTTGTAGTTTGATAATTAATTTACTATTATATTCTAAAATCAGTTCACTTATTTCTATAAATTAAATTGATGTTTCAAAAATTTAAAAAATATTTTTTTAGGAATTAGTTGAAAAATATTTTAGTCCAGTGAAAAATATATGAAGTAAACGGGTTAGTTCATTTTGACTATTTATATATAATCAGACATTGATAGTTTGATTTTAAATAAAATATTCATAATTAAATTTTTATTTTAACAATATGCATATTTATATTCTAATCATACATGTATATAAATTTGTATATATTAACATCACATCACATTAAAAATTATTTATAAATTAAAACACACCACAAAACTAACTCAAATTTATATTCGATGGATATGTATACACGTAAATATTAGTTTTGTGATGTTTATATATATATATATATATATAGTTAGCTAATTACCATCAATTTTAACTTAGTCAAAATTTTAAAAGTAATTAAAGAAAATTTAAAAAATTTAACCCCTCACTGTAAGCGGGTTAATTCTAAGTGTATATATATACAGATGGAGAAACGAACTAATCCTTTCTCAAAAAAAAAAAGAAACGAACTAATCCTCATGTATTGTTACTAACCTTCCGTTTTTTCCGTTTTTTTTTTAAGTTACTAATCCTAAATGAAGACATAATGGTATTTGTCTTTGTTATTAAAATTTTGATAAATCCAAAAGTTTCTTGTGGTTTCAACTATTTACATACTAAAGGTATTTTGCTTTGCTATTTCTCAAATATACATGATGATTTTTATACAAAGTTATAATAATACTTATATGGTAAAAGCTCTATATAAAAAACTAGAATCCTCCAATAAAAGCAAAGAATCGGATTCCATCTTTTTTTTTCCTGGTTGTATAAATCCTCCAATATGGTTAAGTCCTTATTTAGACAAAGACTATGTAACTTCAACGTTTTCTACTTAATATAATGGTCTCTTTCGTCGAAAAAAAAAAACTAGAAAAAGAAATGGTGTCCATTAAGTAGGTAGCAATGCGGAAATGCTAAAATAATTGCGGATATATTAGCCAAAAAAAAAGCTAGAAGCAACTCACAAAGTTATGTAATCAAGCATTTTTTGTTTTTATTGAGACATATTAAAGCTGTATTGTATTTGTCCTTATTATATTTGTCCTATATCGATAATATGTCAAGATTAATTATATTGTGTATATAAAGTATAGCCTCTCTATTTATATTAATTTGAAATATAAAGAATTTTTTACAATTTCTAAAGGATTTTTGTCATGGTATCAGAGCTCTTCTTTTCGGCCAATACCACCACCACCACCTGAGAATGAAGCTGCTCCTATGAATTTTGATATTGATGATGGTAAACCATCTCATGACAAATGAATTTTTGCTGGTACAGTTGTAGTTGTTGATGACAGCTCAGATAACCTACAGATTGTTCAGCTATCTCTACGATGCATGCACAGGTCCGGAGAGATACCAGAAATATCATCAAGAGAATAGCCAAGAGCTTTGCGAAACTTGCGCAGCTTGCTTAGCAGTAAAGTGAGCTTCGCATTGTTCAAGGAAGCATTAACAATAACAGGATAAGTAGAATTAGGTCCCAAGAATGCATACCTTAACCCTGCAGGAAGCTGTTTGAGTTCAAGCTTAGAAGCTTTTTCTTCACTCCAATCGCTGAGCTTTTTGGCTTTTGCAGGAACTTCTATCGGTTCCTCTTGAGCCACCAACTGCATCACCTGCTCGCTTGCATCCAGCATCTTGACATATGATGCTGTAATTTCGTCCAGGTGCTCTGCTTCAGATGCAGACGAGATCAGGGTTCTCTCCAGTGGGTCTGCAGGATGCATCTCCTGGAACATCTCCTCTGCGAAGCCTGTGAGTGTGTCGACGTAGAAGTTTTGACCATCGATGGTGGGCTTCTTCATCAGCTTGTCCACGTCGAAGTTCATGACCAAATCTCCAACATTCAACGCAATTCTGCCCTTCCTCACATCGATGATAGCACCTGCAGTCGCTAGAAAAGGTCTCCCAAGGATAAGAGGATCCTTAGGTTCCTCTCCATACTCCAAGACAATGAAATCGGTTGGTAACATGCAATCTCCAACCTTGATTGAAACATCTTCCAGCACTCCTTCAGGTGTCCTCGTCGATCGATCAGCTAGGATAAGAGAGATCCTTGTTGGCTTGAAATCAGTCATGCCGAGATTGACAGCGACTGAATACGGCATGAGATTGACGCTTGAACCCAGATCACACAGCGATCTCTTGAATCTCTCCGTGAAGATGGAGCAATCCAAGACAAAGCTTCCTGGATCAGACAACTTCTCTGGAATCCTGTTCTGAATCACAACGCTGACTTGCTCAGAAATCATCATCACTCCCTGTTCATGGCTGATATTATTGGTCACCATTCGCTTCACATAATGCCTGATAACAGGAGTGATTTTCACAGCATCAACCAAGAGTATCTCAATCACAAGCTTTTCCATCAAAGCCTTGCACTGTGCATCATCTAGCTCTTGCTTGGACTTCCTAGGGATCCTTGGGTAAGGAACCTTAGGTTTGTAAACCTTTTTCTCAGCAGATTTTGGTCTTGGAGCAATATCAGCTTTGCTTTGCGATTGGTGACGCGTGACACTGGTTGTGGTGTCACTCAACACCGGCTCTGCAACTTCAGAAACTTCTTCAAGATCTTCCAAATCCACGACCTCAGCAGCTGGAGAAAAATTTTTAGGCTCAGAAATCAAAATTTTACCACTCCTCAACGTGATGGCACTGCAGTGGTGCCTCGGATTGGTGTCAGTCTTTCCAGGAAGAAAACCCTCTTGCCTTTTAACAGAACCTGCAGTTTGAGCAACCTGCGTATCGAGCTGCTTCATATGGGTGTTCAAAGCCTCGATTTTTCCATTCAGATCAAGGTAGAGAGCATCGATCTTTCCATTGAAGTCCACGGTGAGCTTCTGCTGTCCTTCCAGAATCTGTTCCAACATAGACTTCACCTCATTGTCAGGAGTTTGAGGTTGAGCTGAAGGAGTGCTGTAGTTTCTGGAAAAACTGTTGTTGGAATAAGGCTTCTGGTATTGAGGCATAGGCGTGTAACCAGAGAAGTTCTGATTACTGTTGAAGGTGCTCCTCTGATTGTTTCCACTGTAGCTTCTGTTACCTTGCTGATTACCAAACCTCTGACCCTGAAACCCTGATCCATTGACAAAGTTGACATCTTCCTCCTCAGCTTCATCCTCAGGTTCGAAACTCTCCACTTCCTGTGCGAATCTGACAGACTTCTTACCCACTAGAAGGCTATGCACAGAGTCAAGCTTAGCCTTCACCTCAGCAATCTGCGATCCATCCACGTTCCCAGCTTACTTCTTTCGCTCATAATCAGCATTCTTGGTACTATTGCTAGATGCCAAGTTTTCGATGAGTACAACAGCTTTGCTGGGTATCTGGTGTTGAAGTTTCCATTGCTCGCTGTATCAAGAGCCATCTTATACCTCCAATCAACACTTCTGAAGAAAATACCTAACAGCTGCACATTGCTGAAGCCATGATAGGGGCAGTCTCGCTGGTACAATTTGAATCTCACCCAAACAGCTTTGAATGCCTCAGTATGTCCTTGAGAGAATGTCAAGATTTTCAGTCTCAGTTCCTCAGACCTGGCATCATCGTAAAATTTTTGCAGAAAGGCGTTCATGGTCTCTTCCCAAGTAGTCAATGAACCAGGTTCCAACTGCTTCAACCAATTAGCTGCTTCTCCAGCAAGAGAATAAAGAAATAGCTTGCAGAAAAGGATATCATTGGACACTCCATTGTATTTGATGCTGGTGACCAAGTCCTCAAACCTCTCGATGTGATCCATAGTGTGCTCATGAGAGTGACCATGAAAGGGATGCTGACCCATGAGAGTGTAGTACACAGGTTTCAGCTTGAAATCATTCCTTTAAAACGCAGGGGCGCGAATCGCAGATCAATTTGCATAGAATTGCTCAGGCCTGTTGTAATCTCCAATTATTCTTCCACGAGCAGCTGCAGGTGCAGGTTCCCTCACATTCTGTTCTTCTGGAACGTTCCTCTGGTTTGGAACGATCACAGCATTACCACGCGGTGCAGGTGGTGGATTCTGGTTAACAACATTCACCGGTAAAGGTGCTGGTGGAATGATATTACCATCTCCATCAAGTCTTTGGCCTCTCTTATTGCACACATGACCATCTTGGTCTCTCCAGATACCAACATCATCACGCACAAGTCTGTTTGCGTTATCCATCTCTGCCCGTTGCTTTGCCTATCTGTTCGTTTGCTCTAACTCTGCTAGCTCCTTGTTGCTCAAATTTACTAGCGGGATGTCCTTGTTGCTTCTGGTTCCACGAGTATGCATAAACCTGAAGCACAAAAGACAAAGAGAGAAAACGAAATAAGTATATTAGGTTATTAAAAACGAAAGGTATCGCGCGACACCCTCGACACTAAGAAAAACTTAGTCGAAACTCAAAAACTAGGTATAATGGCGAAATCAAGTCCCCGGTAGCAGCGCCAAAACTTGATCTGCTCAAAGTTTAATCCCTAAGCTACTCTGCAAGAGCACAGATGTGCAGTTGTAGTATTGCAGGGGTCGAACCATGATGTCGTATCAACTGCGTGAGGGAACAAGTTTTACCCTTAACAAAAACAAATGAAAGCCGCAAGTGCACAGCTAATCAGTTGTAGTATTTAGGGATCGAATCCACAGAAATTTGTGTGCCTGGTATTCTTCTACGGTTTTTAACTTTATGTCTAGACTAGATTGGTTTTAAAGGTTGGTTGTTTGTCACGAATTAAACTAAAACAAAAAAAAAGCAAATAAATCTATCCTAGAATGCAAGTAGAAAAATCGAATGGAAAGCAAGTAAAGCAAGTAAAATATCGAACTAAAGCAATTGAAATGCAGATCTAAATAAGCAAGTAAAAATCGATTGGTTTGTAAACTATGGCTAAAAACGCTGAGCTTTTGGGAACTCTAAGGGATCATAATCGATTTTGACACTAGGGTAGATAGATTGGGATTGACGGATATCGATATTTAGGTGGTTCTAGAGCTAGAGTACGGCGGTATGACTACGTCACTGTCGTGATCATAACCAACTGTTTCTCGCAACCCTGACCAGTAGGTTTCCACTCTGGCCCTGGAAGGGAGAGAACGCAAGAGCTGCACAAGACTTGTCAATACTCACGATCTCGCCGCAAGTAGGTTTCCACTCCTACGGAAAAATCGCCTGTTTCATTCTAGGGCTGATACTTAATGAAAACTTTCGCAACACTAACTATCTAGATCAGATACTAGGTGATCAATCATGCATACATGCAATAAGAACAAGAATAAACAGAGAACAGGTCGAAATCCCAGATCTATAAACCTAGATGTCTTAATCGATTATGAGAGCCCCTTTCGGTAACCCTAAGCCCAACTCGGGATCTACTCAGACATGGCTGAGGTCGACATCATCATTGGTTTTAATAAAAGTAATGAAAAACAGTAAAGAAAAGAGATGAAGAAAGCTTCTCTATTGAAGAACTCGGACTTGAACAATCTTCTACAAAATCGCATAAAAACGGCTAAAGGAAAAGGGTTTCTGTAAAGTATGAAGGGTTCTGTCTAAAAACGACCTAAATGACAAGTATTTATAGTCTTCAATACTCCATGGTCTCTAGGGTTCCGGAATTGAGGCTGAGAATGACTTTGGGCTTCAGAAATATGGGCTTTAATTCGGAGCTTGATGGCCGCGGTCGGGAGTGACGTGACCGCGGGGATTTGGTGATTGGCCGTGGTCGGGAGGCTTCTGACCGCGGGAAATAGGCTTTTGGCCGTGGTCGCGTGACTTGCTGGCCATCTTCGAGTGGCTCCGGGGATAATAGAATATCTTGAGATCCAACCGTTGGAATGTCTCCAAACCAAGTGCATTTGAAAGCTGGTTGATTCTTCTATAAGTTGTCCAATTTTGAGGGTGATCAGACGGTGAGAAGGTCTTTGTCTCTCCATGAGAGTTCTGACGGTCTGCATTTATCCAAAAGAGTCTTTTTGTTCCAATTTGTGCCTCTTTATCCTAAATTATCTGAAAAGTCTTATAAAATCCGAAAACGTAGAAATCCTTTGAAAACCTTTGAAAATGGAGTAAAAACACCTGTAAAATATATTAAAGTAATCCATAAAAATGGTCAAAATCCGGTGTTATCAAACCACAGAGACAAGAAGTCAGTCAATAAACCTATTAGAATTCGAATTACGCTAAGCAATAATATAAGAAATAAATAGCGATGCAACAGAAATAAATTAAGCAGCAGTAAAAACGTTTGTAAGATTCAGATGGATGGAGATTAGGCTTAGGGTGTTTCTCAGAAAATCAATGAATGCAGATCAATCGATTAGTCAGGGTTCAGGTTTAATCACGGTTCTTGAACTCAAACACACATAATTATAATTAACCAACTTCCGTTGTGAGAATTATCTAGGTTAAAATCCTAGAATTCCAAATTCCTTTGCAAATTCTACAGATTTAAACCAGCTTTAATGCACAAGTTCGATATGTTCACAAAGCATCTAAACCAAATTCTTTTGCGAATAGCTACTTTGCTCACCCTAGGTTCTTTCCAGTTATTCAATTACACTTCCATGTCAATTAAGCAACCTAAGATCTAAGTTCTAGGTGATCAGTCCAAAATTAGCATTAAGAACAATCTATGGTGAAGAACTAATAGATATGAACCCCAACTTAATCAATTAATCAAACATCCAGAGAAAACTTTAATGAGAACCCTAAACCTAACAAGCTAACTACTCAGACATGGATATTGAAACAACACACATGATTGAATAAATTGCAATAAGAAGATGAATAAAATAAATAAAGGGGTTCAAAATCTTCTCTCTAAACGAACAGAGTTCAGACTTGTCTCCCTAAGCTCTCAAAATCGCAAAAAGCCTAAAGCACAATGATGTCTTGCTCGAAAATCTAAGGTGTCCTTCAAAAGAGACTAAAAACCCTATTTATATCTATAAAACACGTATTGGGCTTCTCTGGAAACTTCTGGGCCCAACTCCTTCTTCAAACAGGAAACAAAATCACGTGTTCCTTATTTTTGCGATCGGTGTCGAGCGTCACTCTCCATAGTGTCGAGCGACACTAAAGCACATAATTCATCCTTCACGAATTTGATCCTGATTTAGCTCCAAAGTGCTCCAAAATCTCCAGTTAAGCTCCAAACGTACCTATGACCTGTAAAGACTCCAAAAGACTCGAAAAACACTAAAAAGACTCTATAAATAAGACCTATACCATGGTTAAAAACCATAAAAACTATGATATATCAGAACCCGAATTACTATGCTGTGGGCATCACAAGAAACAATGACCTGTTAAGCTTGCAGATTTTGTCTCGTGGTTACTTACTAAGCCGTTTTCTTCTGTCACACCTTATCCTTAGATACTTATCTCTCTTCATCTCAATTCTCCACCGCTTATGAGACATATGTCATGGCTATGAATTCCGCCATAGAACCTCAAAGCTACAAAGAGGCATTTCTTGATGAAAAGTGGCGTTTGGCTGTTCAAAATGAAGTCGTCTCGCTGGAAGATCTTGGTACGTGGACAGTTGAGGATTTGCCTCCCGTGAAAACTGCGCTTGGCTTAAATTGACATCTGACGGTTTGGTGGAATGATACAAGATTCGTTTGGTTGTTTTTGGGAATAATCAAACTGAAGGAGTTGATTACGACGAAACCTTTGCTCCGGTTGCTAAGATGGTAACAATTCGTACTTTTCTTCAACAAGTTATCTCTCTTGATTGGGAAGTGCATCAAATGGATGTCCATAATGAGTTTTTACACGGAGATCTTGATGAAGATGTATATATGCGTTTTCCTCTCGGGTTCTGGATGAATGACAAAACAAAATTTTTCCGATTAAGGAAATCACTGTATGGTTTAAAGCAAGCTCTTCGATGTTGGTATACGAAGCTTGCATCAGCTTTGGAAGCTTATGGTTTTCACCATGACGTATCTGGGTACTCCCTGTTTATACTTGAGAAGGAGTCTGTTCGCATCCATGTTCTTGTTTACATTGATGACTTGATCATCACTGGTAGCTCGGTTAGTATAATTAACGAATTTAAAACTTATTTGAGATCGTGTTTTCATATGAAAGACCTCGACATTTTGCCATACTTCTTAGGGATCAAAGTCGCACAAAGTCCAGTTGATATCTTTGTGTCAACGCAAATATGCACTCGAAATCTTCACGGAAACTGGTTTACTTGGTGTTAAGGTGGCTACTCATCCATTGGAACAGAATCACAAGCTTGCTTTGGCAAATAGCCGATTATGTCGAATCTTGCCTACTCCATACCGTCATTTGGTTGGGAAACTTATATATCTAACTAATACACGTCTTGAGTTATCCTATATTATTCATATTTTTTCTAAGTTTATGAGTGACCCTAAGCCTGCTCATTGGGAAGCTGCGCTTCGTGTGGTTCGATATCTCAAACAAAGTCCCGGGCAAGGTATTCTTCTAAAGACCGGTACACCGCTAGCTTGTTTTGTCTGCTTGGTGTGATTCAGATTGGGCTTCATGTCCCCTTACTCGTTGGTCTTTAACGGGTTGGTTTATACAACTTGGCGGTTCTCCGATATCGTGGAAAACAAAGAAGCATGATGTTGTGTCTTGTTCTTCTACTGAGGCCGAGTATAGAGCGATGGCAGAGACAGTTCAAGAGCTTCTCTGGTTACGACAGCTACTCTTGGTTCTTGTTATCTCGTGTGACTATTCCATCATCCTTCATTCAGATAGTCAATCGGTTCTCAAACTAGCAGCTAATCCGGTCTACTATGCTCGTACTAAACATGTTGAGTTGGATTGTCATTTTATCCGGGATGAGATCGTTCGCGGTATCATTGTTATTAAACATGTTTCCACTAAGTCTCAACTGCTGATATAATGACAAAGACGCTAGGCCAGAAGGAGTTTGAAGATTTTCTTGGTAAGCTGGGTGTTTATAACCTCCACACTCGATCTTGAGAAAGGGGTGGAGTATTGGACTATATTTAAGTCTTAATGTATTTGAAATTAGTGTTTAGGTTTTTCTTCCCCAAATTGATTTGGAGATTTTCTAAGAATAACAATGGTATTAATCTGACAGCAATTAGCACGTGCTACAGAAAACTAATGCAGTTTCTCGATTTTGTTATGTCTACTAATGACCGTGAAATCTGAAGAGGAAAAATGGAACTTTAAAATTTTTGGGTATTTTTATAGATCGAAAATAGTCTGTGTGGATTTCTGGCAACGCAAAAAGTTTGTTGATGTATTTTTTAAACATTTGTTTTACAACAAATTAATGCTGTTTATGATTCTGTTATGTTTGTTAACGACCGTGAAATTAGACGGAAAAAAATGAAATTTTAAAAATTTAGATATTTTATGGATTGAAAAAATAGTTCATGTGGATTTCTGGCAACATTTAAAGTTTGTATTAGTTTTTTTTCAAAAATTAAATAGTTGAGGTATTTTTTGGTATTTTTCGGATTTGTATAACTGTAAGTCAGGTACTCAGGTAATCATGACATGACATCATACAATTTTCTAAAAATGTCCTATACAGCCTGAAACTAGTCTCCACTTTTTATAAAACAGAGGAAAATATAAATAAATTAGAGAGCAAATTTAAAAGTGAAAAAAATAGTCCGTATAGATTTGATTACAAAAAACAAACAAGCAAACACGGTGAGATTGAAAAACAGAAAAAGAAAAGAAAAAATTACAATGCGTTTTAACGAAAGAAAATGTCAGCAAAACGTAGAGTAAGAGTGAAGATACCTAATAAAAGACAAGGAAGCATATACAAAGATGGCAAATCGATCGGTGGTGATGACATTTACTTAATCTTGATCACAACGGTAAGAACAAAATGTCACGTCCTTCCATTTGAAAACTACTTTGTGTGGACAACGATCTTCATCATGATTATAGCAGAATGGTCGAGACTGGGTATTGTTGGGAAGAATATGATATTCCCAGCCCGAACTCATTATAGTTTGACCAGGTTTCTGCATATACGGTTCTCTCCCAAGCAAACAATGAACATGAAGAGTGATGCAGCAGTCATGGCATTCATAGAACCCATCTTTATTTGAGTATACTATTTTTCTTTCGCATACCTCACACCAGTCTAATTGATCACTTCCTTCTTTCCCTTTCTGAAATGTGAGGAAATGTTTGTCATGCTTATACCTTGCTCTGTATGGTAAAGTAGCACATTTGAAGCATATAACATACTCGCACTCGATGCAATTCAGTTTTCGATGAAACTTTTGTTGCTCTTGGCAGATCTGACAAGTTGCTTTCCATTCTTGTTCTTGGTCCAAAGCTAGGAATAATGGATGCTCATGGCCTTTATATTCAAATGGTTCAGAAACCAAGGCACACCTTATATCTAGTCTGTAATCTCCAATTTCATAGACAAAACCATAACTATAGCGAAAACAAGCATAACACTTGAAGAAATCTTTATAGGATTTCTGTTCACCAGAGATTTTAAGCGTAAGTGGGTGGAGGTGTAATGCATGGTGTATTTTGCGAGGAGCATGCGCACATGCTTCATGGAAGACAAAGTCACATCGATCCATACAAGAATAATAATTACCCTCGTAGATTGGAAGGATGCACGCTTGACAAAACTTATCGTCGTTGTAAACTCTGCTGATCTCGAGTTTGAGATGATGGCTATGAGTAAAATGGAGTATTATTCCATCAGCAATCGTCTCGAATGGCTCGACAATTATATCAGGTTCCTCAGGTACTCCTTCGAGATCCACTCCATCCCAGATGTCACTCCGCAAAGCACATCTTGTATGAACAAAATAGTGACTACATTTGCAGCATGAATATGCACCACAACTGTTGTCAACCTTTTTACGACAAACTCCGCAAGACCATTTTCCAGATGGAAGAGAAGGGATAAAAGAGATACGGTGCTGGTGACGAGATGGTATTTTTATGACATGTGGGATATATATACAACATTGGTGGACTACAAAGACACATCGAGCACAAACATAAGTGGGAAAAGATTTTTCAGTGAGGCCACAAACATCGCAAAGTAAGGAAGCTTGTTTGGGGAATAAGGTGAGTGGGTGGGGATGGCTTTTTGGGTGGTCTATAACAATGGGTATTGGTTTCAGCGCACAAACTGGATGCATATTAAAATTGTATGTGGGACAATGATACACCGTGAAATAGAGAACTAGTTTACAACATATGCAAAAGTCCAATAACGTGGGAGAATGGTAAAGTTGGAGAGAAAATAAGGGATATGAAGGGTGTTTGATCTCAAGTGGAGATTCCACACATTCTTTGTGGAACATTTTATTACATGTGGGACAGAGATAATAGTCTGTGCCAAGCATCGAGTCTATGCATGCACCGCAACTGAATTGATGGTGATCAGGTTCTTTACTGTTGCACCAAAAGATAGGGACAACAGGGAGCTTACAGATTTCTTTATCGTGGTCGGAATCATCGCAGTCCGAATCATCGCAGTTGGAATCATGGCGGTAGGAACCAAGCAACTGCTGCTGGACTTGTTGATCAGTGTTGTGGAAGTGAGGGGAAATCTTGTACGCGAAAAAATCAGAAAAAGTATAGTTCTCCTTCTGAACTATGAGACGTAAAGAAGGACAGAGGAAAAGAGGCTGAAGAGGAGGGAGGTCGAGATCACCGAAATATTTGTGAAATGGATTTCCATCGATTTCTTCCTCACGAAATACACCAACGGAACTCATTTTTGTTATTGAGACGATTTGGGTAGTTTTGTAGTATATATTCTTCTTCTCCTTCTCGGTGATCACCTCCCATTTATATATATGAGATATATACAACTTCAAAAATACAGCTACGCTTGATGTTATTATCTTTTTTTAACAGCTAAGCTTGATTTTTTTTTTTAACAGCTAAGCTTGATATTATTATTGTTATTTTTGGTTAAAGTCTTTGTTATAGAAAGTCATTAATTATTGATTATTTCACATTCTCGGTCTCGTCTTTGTTTACTGATTTGTATATTCTTTTTATATATCGTCAATGCATTATTTTTAAAAACTAGATCTATGCTCCACACGCTCGAGCGGATTAATCATTTTTAAAAACAGATTAGTATGAATCTTTGAATAGTTAATTTGTCAAATTTGTTTTTTTTTATTAGACTTTTTATCTTTATATATCTATACTATTATTTACGAAGTCAAAAAATTATATGTGTTAGCACCACAATAATTGTCCTATATGGAATAGGTTATCATTAATTATATCTGTCGTACTCATATATATTTTTGGGCTGATATGTCGAGAACTTTTATTTTTTTCGTTGACATGGCGTTTAATCTATTTTTAATTGGTATTTCATTAAACTGATGTGAATGCATATGATGACGTATAATTTACTATTTGGGTTTACGCTTCAAAAACTTAATTGGAACTAAATCCAGCCACTGCTTTCGTTAAAAAAACACCTTTTTTTTTTAATTTACCAAACCCTAAATCGTATAACTACTATATGTATATCAGCCTAAAAAGTGTTTGTAGATCATTCATATTTATGCAAGTTAAGTTTTAGTAATTCTCTATCATCCTATGAATGCGAGAGGTAGATTTCTTTGGTGTTTTATGGATACGATTAGAGTTTCTTTCATATTTGTAGACTTGTAGTGTTCATCATTTTTGTGGCTTCGTTTTTTATATATTTAAATTTCGCTTGGTTTTTAATTTTGTTTTTCTTCACTGCTTATAGCTTATAGATCAAAGAATTTTTTGTTTTGTTTTGCAGGATGATTTACTTCTAGGGATATTGGAGTGGTGTATATGCCTTGTTTCTTTTCATTCAATGTAGCGGTTTCCTGTATAATTCATTAGCGGTACGTACTTGGTTTTTTGCTTTTGTTTTGTTCACGATTTGTTCTGTAAGTTTGTTTGCGTTTCTTTATCTGATTTTTTGGGGTTTTCATTGAGATGTAATCGTTGTCTTTTATGTTCCTAGCTTGCTTCTTTCGCTCAAGATTTGCATTCTTGGTGCTATTGCTGGATGCCAAATTTTCGATAAGTTCAACAGCAACACATCGCTGAAACCATGATGAGGGCAGTCTCGCTGGTACGATTTGAATCGCACCCAAGAAGCTTTGAATGCTTCAGTTGGTTCCTGAGAGAAAGTCAAAATTTTCGTCCTCAACTCCTCAGACCTGGCATCATCGAAGAAGTTGTGCAGGAAGACGTTCCTGATCTCTTCCCAGTAGTGAGTGATCCTGGCTCCAACTGCTTCAACCAGTTAGCTGCTTCTCCAGCAAGAGAATAAGGAAACAGCTTGCAGAGGAAGAAATCATTGGACACCCCATTGTACTTGATGCTGGTGACCAAGTCCTCAAACCTCTCGATGTGGTCCATCGGGTGCTCATGAGAGTGGCCATGGAAAGGATGCTGACCCACAAGAGTGTAGTACACAGGCTTCAGCTCAAAATCGTTTCTTTGAAACGCAGGGGCGCGAATCGCAGAACGATTTGCATAGAACTGCTCAGGCCTGTTGTAGTCCCCAAGCGTTCGTCCACGACCAGCTGCAGGTGCAGGTTCCCTCACATTCCGATCCTCTGGAACGTTCCTCTGATTTGGAACGATCACAGCATTACCACGTGGTGCAGGTGGTGGATTCTGGTCAACAACATCCACTGGTAGAGGCGCTGGTGGAATGATGTTACCATCTCCATCAAGCCTTTGGCCTCTCGCATTGCACACATGACCCTCTCGGTCTCTCCAGATTCCATCATCATCACGAACAAGTCCATTGGCGTTTTCCATCTTTGCTGGATCCCTTGCTTTCCTGTTCGTTCGCTCTAACTCAGCTAGCTCTTCGTTGCTCAAATTCACTAGCGGAACGTCCTTGTTGCTTCTGGTTCCACGAGTATGCATAAACCTGAAACACCAAAAACAAAGAGAGAAAACGAAATAAGTAAACTAGGTTATAAAAAGAAAGGTGTCGCGCGACACCACAAGTGGTGTGGTGTCGCTCGACACTAGGTCGAAAAACTTAGTCGAAACTCAAAAACTAGGTTTAATGGCGTAATCAAGTCCCTGGCAACGGCGCCAAAACTTGATCTGCTCAAAGTTTAATCCCTAAGCTACTCTGCAAGAGCACAGATGTGCAGTTGTAGTATCTAGGGGTCGAACCACAGAGACAAGAGATCACTCAATAAACCTTATGTAGATGGAGTTACGCTAAGCCGAAATATGCAGAACAAATAGCAATGCGACAATAATAAATAAAGCAGCAATGGAAACAGTTGTAAATTCGATGTGATAAAGGATAGGTCTAGGGCGTTTTCAGGAGATCAGTGAATGCAAATCAACTTAACTAATCAGGGTTCAGTTATTAAGCACGGTTCTTGAACTCAAAACACAGAACTATAATTAACCAACTTCCATTGTGAGAATTATCTAAGTTAAAATCCTAGAATTCCAAATTCCTTTGCAAATCCTACAGATTTAAACCAGTTTTAATTGCACAAGTTCGATATGTTCACAAAGCTCCTAAACCAAATTCCTTTGCGAATAGTTACTTTGCTCAACTCAGGTTCTTTCCAGTTATTCAATTACACTTCCGTGTCAATTAAACAACCTAAGATCTAAGTTCTAGGTGATCAGTCTAGAATTAGCTTTAAGAACAACCTAAGGTGAAGAACAAATAGATATGAACCCTAACTAGCAAGTTAATCAAACATTCAGAGAAAATCCTAATTAACCCTAAACCTAACAGGTGATCTACTCAGACATGGTTATTGAAACAACAAACATGATGAATAGAAAGCAATAGATTAAATCGAAATAGATAAAGGGGTTCGAAATCTTCTCTCTAAACGAACAGAGTTCAGACTTGTCTCCCCAAGCTCAGAAATCGCAAAAGCCGAAAACTCAGAGTATCTCTCTCTCAAAAATCTAAGGTAATCGTAAAAAGGGAATAAAAATCCTATATATATCTCTAAGACACGTCTTGGGCTTCCTTGAAAACATTTTGGGCCCAACTCCTTCTTCAAATAGGAAACAAAATCGCCTTTTCCTTATTTCTCTGACAAGTGTCGAGCGTCACCCTTCATGGTGTCGAGCGTCACTAAAGCACAAAATCCATTCTTGACGAATTTGATCCTGATTAAGCTCCAAAGTGCTCCAAAGTCTCCAGTTAAGCTCCAAACGTACCTATGACCTGAAAAGACTCCAAAAGACTCGAAAGACACTAAAAAGACTCTATAAATAGGACTTATACCATGGTTAAAAACCATAAAAACCATGATATATCAACTCCCCTAGACTTAGCATTTGCTTGCCCTCAAGCAAACAGAACACTAAACAAGAGAAAAAAGTTTGAAAACACAGAGTCTCAACCTTTCATTGGAACATCGCTTTTGACCAATCACCCTGCAACTCAACTACTGCTTCATCATTCCAAATCAAACCACCATGTACTTCTCCGTAGACATTCACAGCTTTCCAGATTAAGTCCAAAATTCCACAACATTGTCCATAAACCCTCATCGCTGGATCCCACTGATGATTCAGATGCCAAGAACCTTCTAGACTCTTTCCCATTCTGTACTTAAACAAATCAGCCATACAAACTTTGGTATTTTTCTCTCCCCCAGACTTATTCTTTTTGCACATTCATCATCTTTTTCTTCTCTTTTTTTATGGCGCATACTCGATAAGAGTAAAGCTGCGAGTACTGATGGTGTTTGCCACCAAGTCCCCTAGTTGTCCCCTTACCTTGTATCAAAGGTTTTCAGCGAATAGTGGGGTCATGGGAAACATTCCTACCCCTCACTTCCTTCCTTTGTGTGATCATTTCAACTTAGAAGTGAAATAATGGGATCATTGGAAACATTCCTAGCCCTTTACTCCTAAGCGAAAATCATCTCAATCTTTTTGCCATTTTTCTTTCTTTCTTCTTTTTCTTAGCTCGTCACAAGGGAGAGAAATACCAACATTAAATTTCACACAGGCTTTCATTGATCAAGTACGAATGAGGAATCAAGCTCTAAGGCATCAGTCACATCAACGAGATAAAAGTGAAGTTCAGAACTTAGCTCAGGTTAGTGGATTCTGTTGGAAACATGGACGCCTCTAGTCAACTGGTCAGCCTTTGGATTTTTCAAAAGTCGGATCTAGATTGAATCTGCAGCAGTGGTCACTTAGGTGAAAGGTCAGCACAATAATTCCAGGAAAAAGCATCATGATCTCCAACAGGTGTTGACTCAAAAACGTTTTGACACAACTGACTCTTAAGAAAAACAAACACAATGTCAGCAACTACCTCCCCCAGACTTAAACAACACTGTCCCCAGTGTAATCAAATCCGAAGTCGGTGACAAAAGAGAAAGTTAGAAGGATGAATGCAATGGGTTAGAATATCTTACTACCCAGTTACGTCGACCAACACACAGCTCAGATTCAGAGGAAAACAAGCTTAGGTCGAAAGTGCAAGGGTGGTGACGAGCGATACCAAAGATGGTGTCGCGCGACACCACAGTGCAGAGAGCAATCATCGCGAGCAGAGACACATGAGTCCACCGAACAAGACAGAGAATCATCTATGTTAGCACTGTCAGATCACTCAGAGAGAAGTTAGTAGTAACAAAACAACCCATAGAAGCATAAATCCAACAAAGTCTCACAACAGGTGTAGCTGACACAACAGACTCAAGCAAACGGAAAGAAAGAATAAGAAAAACAAAAGAAAAGAAAACAGAAC